GGTCAACGCGCGGCAGCAGGCTGACCGCGCGGTCCCACACGTTGCGCGCGTGGTTGACAAAGCGGTGCCGCATCTCCATCTCGGCGTACTGTTGTGGGGGTGAGGGGCGACGGGGTGGGAGGGGTGGGGAGGGTAGGTGGTTGCCAGGGGGCGTGGCAGCGGTGGTTGAGAGGGGTTGGGGTTGCGGGCGGGCTGCCGCGGTGACCAGATCGGGTCGCTGCGGACGAGGTCATGGCGCGCGCCTAGGAGGCTCGTGGGAGGGGTGCAGGGGTCACGGTGGCGCCGCCCCCGCCACGGCCGCAGGCCTCCCTGCATGAGCAAGCTGGCGCGGCGCCCCAAAACACTCAGTCCCCCCATTCCCCCTATTACACATCAGCCCACCCGCTCACACATGCACCCACGCACTCTTCCCCTCCCCCCCACCTGCACGCTTACTTCCGCTTACATCTGCGAACTATCACACGCAAACACCCACATCAACTCTTTCAACTCTTTCAACATCTCCCCCCGCACCTTGAGCCAGACCGTGGTTGACCGGTAGTCATTGTCCAGGGCGCGCTCCCACACACTGCGCGCGCGCCTGAAGTCCTTCTGACCCTCCTCCCATTGAGCATACTGTGTGTGTGTGTGTGTGTGTGTGTTCACGTGAGCGTGCGAGGTGTATGAATGTGTGTTGGGTTCGCAATCACCATCCGCGAGCGCAGAGGGCCAGCGAGAGCGGGCGCGCCGGCCGCTCCTTCATCGGCGCTCGCCAGGCGACGGCTGCCCGCCGCACAGCCCTGCGGGGCGCGGCCCCATCCGCCGGCTCTCCTTGAACCAGGCGCAATCAACAAGCCCCAGCCACCATCCCGGCCTCAAACATACACGCGCATGCACAACCTGATGCAACCGCGCATGTACACACCCATGTCGGTGCTTGGCATTGAGAAGCAGGCAATCGGCCGCATCGGTGCCCTGTCCCCACAATCATGCCCCCGCTCAAATGCATGCCGACGGTTTGCCCTCGGCTGCTGGCACTGCACCTCCACCCAGGCACGTGGGCTGCCGCCGCCCCCCTCAACCCCCAGCACTTGCGCCTCTCCCTTACCTTGACCCACACCCCTGGCTGCCAGCGCCCCACCCGCCGCAGCAGGTCCTCAAACTCCTTGCGCTTGCGCAGCCGGTACTCAGCCAACTCCTCAGGGTCTTGGGGGGGCGGGGAGAGGGGTGTGGGGAGAACGGGGGTGGCGTGGGGGGTTGCATGTGTATGTGTGCGTGTGTATGAGGGTGTGTGAGGGAGAGTGCGCATATGTGTGTGTGTGTGTGTGTGTGTGTGTGTGTGTGTGTGTGTGTGTGCGCGCGCGTAGGAGAGAGCGTGTGAGCGTGTGTAAGTGGCTGGTGGAGGGAGGGGGAAGGGTGAAAGGATGCAGTGATGCGAGGGACCTGCGCTTCGCTGGGTGCTCAGAGGGTCCCTCTGCGGCGGCCCTGGCGAGCTGGAACACGACAGGCGCCTCCGCGCTGCCCTTACACCCGCTGCGCTCTGTCCCCCACCCCAGTTGCCCGCTCCCCTGAGGCCCCTTGTCCGGTTCCCTTGCCCCTCCCCCGCACACACGTGTACGCACCCACACACAAACAAACACACACTCCCTCACACACAGCCATCGCCGCACACACACAACACCCCACACCACCCCTGACCCCTGACCCCTGACCCCTCCTCCGCAATCCAGCCTCAGCCGCCGCCCACGTCCCCCATCACCTGTGATGATGGTCTTGGGGGCCTTGAAGTCATCCTCGAGCTGGATCTCCTTGGCCTCACGCAAGATCTGCTCCGCGGTGATCTGGCGGTCCGACGGCTGCTTGTTCTTGACCTGCGAGACGGGCGGCGGGGCGCAGCGGCGGGGGCGCGCGGCGCGGCTGGTGTGAGGGGCCGCGGCGGTCGGGCGGCGGGCTCTGGGGCGCAGGCGCCGCTGCTGCTGTGCGTGGGCTGCTGTAGGGGCCAGGTCTCCATTGTCAAGCCACAATCACATCCGAAGAAACAACACACACACACACACACACACACACACACACACACACACACACACACACACACACACACACACATCCCACACACTCCACACGCACATGCAACTTCACACACAAGCTGGCGGCGCCGGAAGCAGCAGCAGCAGCAGCGCCAGCGCCGCACCTTGATGGTCTTGGGCAGCCGCTGCTCCGTGGCGTCCCGCCGCCCGATGCTGCCTATGGATGACATGGCTGCTGCTGGCGCCGCTGGCGCCTCTGCTGCCGCTGCCGCTGCTGCTGCTGCCGCCGGCCGTCGCCCTCGGCCTGCCCTGAGGGCGGGCTGCAGCCAGCTATGAGCGAGCTGCCACTAAGCCTAGAAGCGCTGACCGCCGGCAGCTCGCCCCGTGCGCGCGGGCGCTGTGCGCGCCTCGCCGCCGCGGCTGCCGCGGAGGCTGCGCGCCTGGGGCGGGGCGGGGGCCGGGCCTGGCGCCGCCGTGGCCGTGTGCGCCGGGGCCCCTGCTGTTGTGGCACTCCTCGTGTGCTCGTGGCCTCTCCACGCTAATCTGCAGTGTTGAACACCACCTCTTTCACGTATCCGATTGGCGCACCGGTGCGCGCCCCGCTGTGCTCCTGAGCTGGATGGGCCCACGCGCGCTTGGCGCGCCAGGCGCCCGCCGCTGCTGCACAGCAACGCTGATGGAACTCTGGCGAGACCTCTTGAACAAGGAGCTGTGTTATGCCTTGTCAAGCCACCTAAACTAGAAAAGCGGTTCCTCAGGGGTCGCGAAGCGGCACGCGTTGGGCGAGATCGGATCAGTGGAGCAGTCGGTCTGAACAACAAGTATACAAAGTCATTGAAAGCCGGGCGATCGACTCTGAACTTGTCACACCAGCAAGAAACAGTGGCACCGGGCGCCGTCGAGTGCGTAAGAACGCAACACCCATGCTGCAGCATCCATTGAGCTATATCCTTACATATGTGATTATGGACCTTCTTGAGCGCTCGGCATAGCGCAGCTGGTGTGATCTGTTTCATTTGCTGCCGGCTGGTGCATACATCGCGTGTCTAGTAGCTACGTACACAGCAAGGCAACACTGTGTCATCAGGTGCTCTACACCACCAGGAAAGGCGCTCATCTGCCGACTCGCCGCCGTCAACCGCAGTGCACCTCGCCCATCAGCTGCTGTTCCTGCAGCGCACCCATCTTCCACGGCATGCCCGACTGGTTTCTCATAGCATCCTGCGGTGGTGCCCTGCTTGGCGCAGCGCGCCTCGCCGTGGCGCAGCTGCAGCACTGGCGGCGGCGGCGGCGGCGGCGGGGCGGCGGGGAGGGCGCCCCGTTGCGGCGGGTGGTGGCGGCGTGCGAGGCGCGCTGGTTTCTGGAGGAGCTCAAGGTTTGTTGTTGCCTCAGTCCGAATGCCTCAGAGGCAAACGGCTGTGGTCTTACCCACCAGTGCGGTCGAGCTGCTTTGTGACGTTTTTGAAATGCAGAAGCACCGTGGTCGCCTCCCTGCGGCATCCATTCTGCGGAATGGATGCGTAGTTGGCATGGGTGTCGCATACCTTTACAGGGCCCTGCTGGTCCGCTGATGACATTTTTCCGCTCGCACCCGCCCCCCACCCTCCCTGTAGCTGGCCGTGGGCGGCGACCAGGAGGCCATGGTGCGTGTGGGCCACATGCTGCTGGCCGGGTACGGCATCCGACAGGACAAGGCGGAGGCGGCAAAGTGGCTGCGCGCCGCCTGGTGAGCGGCGCGGGCCCGACAGAGTGACGCAATCCGGGCGCCGCTTGGGATTGGTCCGGGCGGTGGTGGTGCATAGGCGCTCAGCCGCGGGGACGGGGCGTCAACGAAGGCTGTCATGGGGCTAAGGGGGCAGAGGGCCCCTGCTGCAGAGTGCGGTGCAAGGCAAGGGATGAGGTCGATGATGCGGCGCCAATGGCCCTGTGCAAGCACACGCTCCCCCGCTTCCTGCTTGCCGTGACGCAAGCCACCATTTGATGCGAATTCGTTTGTTATGCACCCGCCAGGGCGATCCAAAACTACCGGGAGCCGGCAATGGTGGAGATGCTGGACCCGGATGAGTCAGCCGTGCCGGCCCTCAACATGCAGCAGCAACCCCAGGAGCGGCAGCAGCGGCGGCGGCAGCAGGAGCAGCGGCGGCTGCAGCAGCGGCGGCGGGGCGAGGATGGGGCGGTCGCAGGCGGCGGCGGCGAAGAGGGCGGCGGGCGAGTGGCGCAGCCGCGACGGGCGCGAGCGGGCGGCGCGCAGCAGGAGCAGGGGGCTGCGGGTGCGGGGCCGACGCATACGCCCTGGGGGCCGGGTGGCGAGCACAGCGAGTGCAGCGGCAGCGGCGCGGGCGGTGGGGGCAGCAGCGGCATGCCTGAGCTACCGTCAATCCAGGCAGTGTATTCGACCCTGCAGTTTGCTGGCCCGTCGGCGCCAAGCCCCGCGCAGGCTGCCGCGGGGGCGCGTGCAGCCGCCGCCGCTGCTGCCGCAGAGGACGGGGCGGGCGCCCCTGTGCACGCCCCGGAGCAGCAGCGGTGGCCGCAGGCGCCGGGCGTGGGCAGAAGCGGCTTTGGGGGGCCAGCTGGCGTTGGGGGCGGGCGGCTGCGGCAAGCGGCACAGCCAGGATAGGCGCCCGCTCTGCTGCTCAAGTGTAACGGGCCGTGTTTCAATGCACAGTTGTGCTGCCTTGCAATTTGCTGACGTCCTGTTCAAGGAAGACCAAGGGCAGGGGGACGGCCACAGCGCACACATAACCGCACCGTGCTGGGGTGCGAGCTGCGGATCTGCGACGACACTGCCACCAGCCAGCCGCAGCGTTGGCGCTGCCCAGCCCCGAGGTCGGCCCTCTTCCGGATGCGCTGCCATCGGTCAGCCCCCGCATGCGCTCCCGTGCAGCGCCCGGCAACACACCAGCCCTGACGGCAGCCGCCGCCTGCCACGCCTGCGAGCCGGTCCCAAAGCGGGCGCCCCGTCTCGCTGGCGAGTGCGACCCAGCAGCGCTGGTAGTTTGCGGGGCCCTGGGCGGCTGCGTGACGACACAGCACACCGTGGCCCTCCGTCTTTCTTTGTTGTCTTCTAGTTTCCAGCACCAACATGCCGATGCTGCCCGTCAAGCTGGTGGTTCAGCTGCCGCGTTTGCGCGCGCAGGCCGGTTTGCTGGACCCTCGCTACGGATTGCGGCCCTGCCTTCTCTGCACGACCGCCAGCTGCTTCGCGCCGCTGTGCGGCGCTGCCCTGCTGCGCAACAGCAGAATGGACCATGCATGCGCCGCCACCTAATCTTACACACAGGAGGGGGCCTGACGACGAATGGGTGGGGACGAGGGGCGCGCGCCCCGCTCGCAAAAGGCGCGGAGTCGGCGCCGCCGAGTCAGAAACCAACAAAAGGAGAGCTGGGCGGCTGGCCCGTGAGAGAGAAGGGTTATTGGGGTCAAATGTACACGCATGCACGGTCGGTCAAAACAGACAATGAGAGCACGCACGAGCAGCTGCCCCGCGCCACGCTACGGGCTGCAGCGAAAGGGAGCCCTGCCGCGCGACCAAACACCCTGGGAATGTAGGGCACCGGCCCGCGCGGCGCCGCGCCGGCGACGGCCGGGGCTGTCCTGACAGAGGGACACGAGCTGCAACGCGTACATTTCACACGCCGCCCGCATGGCCATTTGCCATGCGTGTGCGCCGCCGCGGCGCCCAGGGACACTGGGGGTCGGCCTGCAGCGGGTCCCCAGGGCTGCCTGCCGCGGCGGGGGCGGCGAGGGGGGGCCTCACGACGCGTCCGCGGCGCACGCGGCCTCCTCCGCGCCCTGCCGCTGCTCCTGCTGCAGCTTGGGCCGCTTGCCGCCGCCCTGCCTGCCCACTGGGGACAGCCCGTTGCCCTCGGGCGCCCGCTTCGGGTGCTGCTGCTGCTGCTGCTGCTGCTGCTGCTGCTGCTGCTGCTGCTGCTGCTGCTGCTGCTGTGCGGGGCTGCCAGGATCCGAGTTGGCAACGGAAGCCGCCGCGGGGCCGGTGGCTGCCGCCGGATCTCGTCTGGGGGAGGCGTCCCCCTGCCCCCGCCCCTGAGGCTGCCCCTGCTGCTGAGGCTGCCCAGGTGACCTCGGCGGCTGCGACGGCACCGCGCGCTTCGGCGGCGTCCCCGAGGCGCCCGCCCGCTGCTCCGCCTGCTGCTGCTGCTGCTGCTGCTGCTGCTGCTGCTGCTGCTGCTGCTGCTCCCCCAGCGGCGTCGCGCTGCCCGGCGCGCTCGCGCCCGCTGCCGGCTCCTCCTGCTCCTCATCCTCCCCATACTGCGCCAGGCTCGAAAGCCAGCTGCCGCCACCCTCCAAGGCGCCACCGCCCCCGTCGCCGCCCTGCCGCTCGCCCGCGGCGCCGCCCGGCAATGCGCCCCGCGGCCCCGCTTGCCTGCCGCCCTCCGGCGAGCGCTGCTGCTGCTGTTGCTGCTGTTGCTGCTGATGATGCTGCTGCTGGGCCCGGGGCCCGGGGCCGGCCGCGGGCTGGTGCTGCTGCTCCTGCAGCGGCGGCGACGACGCCCGCGCGCCGCCCACCTGCCAATGCCGCGCCTGCTCCTGCGCCTGCGTCGGCCGCGGCTGCGGGCCCGCCGCCGGCCCCGCCGCGGCCCCGCCC